GATATAAATCGACAGCAAGCAATTACTAAGTGGTTTTGCGTTTTACCGAGATGACAGCTGCAACAAGATAGCAGAGGTTTAAACTTGTCGATTACTGAGATTGTGCAAAGCATTAGCGAAATGGAGTTGAAAAGTTTAGGCCACCTCTTGTCATCGTAAACTTACTCAGTGGAAATTACAGTATATAGTCAGACATTAAATTTTATATTTTATTACACTTATCACACTCATTAATCACGTTTAATTAATCATACAACCAACCAGTTACAGAAAGAATAACATTAAATTTTAAACAAACCTTGTCGGTGATAATCGATAATATTAATTAAAAAATATCAAAAATGCAACGACCAATTTTTTAGCGCTGGTTTTATAATTTGAAATGATACTCGCGGAAATATCGAATGAACTTTTATAAAAAAATAACGAGTGCAGAAATAAAAAAAGTGTAGGAAAAAAAAGGTTTTGTACCATATGAAGGTTGTATAAAAGTAAAAAAAGATTCCACAGGCGATATTGAATGCGAAATGATCATCTCGATCGAATGTCCGCTATAAAACCGACCAATGGAATTTCAATATGGAAGGCACTCTTTACTTATACGAGAATACGCATAATATACAGAAAGTACTATCCCATTTATTACTACTGTATATAACTGTACAAAACGACATTATCCCCATTATATTACTTTATCTTTTTACCTATTTCTTGTTTATTTACTAAATTGAGAAAAAAAAATTTTTCTGCATCGGTAAACATAATTTTACTAACGGCTTCGGCTATTGAAAAAAATAAAAAAAAAAAACTATTGAAGATTATTTTTAATTAGTGAAGTCGTTACGGAAAAAAGTGTGCACATAAAGTTGAATATCTTTAGTGATATTTTTTAAAGTGATTAATATTTACTATTGAACAAATAAATTTTGAAGAATTATTTGTAATTAAAATTTTTTAGATATTTTAAAGAAATAATTTTTTGTTGTAAAATAAATTAGAATAAAAATGAAATTAAATCATTTTTCGTAAAATAAGAATGTACAATTTTTAATTTTTTTCGTCCACGTTATATAAAAAAAAAAAAAAAAAAAAAAAAAAAAAAAAAACAGCTGTAGACTAAAATTGATCAATCTTCAGGCAATTATTGGATCTTACTTTAATATTTTTTTTTCATCCTTATTATCAAATCACTCTTGTGATTTTTTGTCAATATTTGATGAAAATTGTTCAATTAACTTTTTTTATTAAAAAAAAAAAATATTGAAGTTACCTCGTCTGAACAGTAGTAAATATTTAAAATCAAAAGTTTACATTGAAAAAAAAAAAGTTAACTTGATTCAAGAGAAAAATTCTTGAACTAAAAAAAATAATTTTTTTCAATATACATAAAACATAATTTCATTTGAAATTCCATTCCGCCGATAAAATAGAGTATTATCCAACAAAAATCATTGAAAACTCTAATAACTACAAACTTTGAAAAATGTTAATGACCCAGACGAAATGGGGTGATTGTGAAGCACAAGAATAACTTTGATGTCACTATTTCTGAACGTACTGAAGTAATTCAACTCAAATCAGGGACAAAGACACTTTAGCTCTCAGGTTCACTTACCGAGTCGTTACAAGAGCTACAAAACGTCAGGTCGCTTTTGTAACTTTACAACCAAAGAAAACTCACTGTGCCTTCATTAATACGACTTTCGATGAAAGCAATTACATGCAATTCAAAAAAACTTCATTTCATTATGAAAGTACTCAAACTACGATATTAATCATCAATAATTCAAAACTTTATGCTCAGATGCATATTCAATCAATATTGATTCTAATAGATAGGTAAAAAAAAATTACCCTCTAATTATAAAAAAATTAATAACTAGGTCACGTCAATACTTTATCTTTAATTAAAAAAAGGCAACAATGTATCGTATAATAAATCCATTACCGGTATAAATGTAAATGAAAATGGCATAAGTTTTTCTTCGTTCCACATTGCGTGGGTCTGATGAGTAATTATTATATCAAAATTTCCATTCTTAAAATAAACGAAAACTCTCGGTTCCAACTCGGCAATCAGGAGCTCAGTATGTTGATAAAATTTTGGATTCATAAAGCGGTAACTTCTGCATATGAAACTGCGATTAAAATGCTAATTAAAGCTGTTCGTGGGAGAAATGGGTGAAGATAAATGTATATGCTGTATAATATAACCAGAAAGGTTCGCTTGAGCATAGAACATCGGTAGGGGTTGTAATAAGCGTAAAGAGGGTTAAAGCTGAATGAGAATGCCACTAGCCGTATAAGAGTAAAATAAAGATAGAGTTTGTGCGAAAATGGACAGGAAACTAATTGCAGGAACTAATTAGTTCCTGGGAGCCACTTGGACCGAGAAGTTATTGATGCTCACTATTTCCAATAGCCCGTATACTAAAACTCAACCAAACAGTTTTAGTTAATTTGATTCAATGATGACTTGTCTCTCGCATTAATCTCCTGTCAAACGAACCATTTACCACCCACTCTGCTCGACTTTTCTTCTTCCGTTCACTAGTGACTTTTGCAAATACTCCGACTTGTAAAAGTCTCGGGTTGACTTATAGGGTCGCTGAAAAATGAATGTTTATGTTAATAAATAACCGGGATCGCGTGTTAGTATTGCCACTGCGCACTATCGATTGGTGATAAATATTTGGTGATTGAATCCAGTTCACCTGTGACTAATTTTGTATTTATCGCTCCTAGCTGATTTGTTTGAAATAGTTTTGTTCGAGTGAGGCTCTGTTTTATTAGTATAAAGTGAATAACTTATTAAAGTGGCTCTACTCTGCAATCGACGATGTTACAGTCGTCCTGTTAATTAAACAATTAGTCGCGAGGATTTATTTACAATCGTACACTTATTTCAAGCTCGTTTTCTGTCAGCTAACTGACTACTGCGGGTAGTTTTTCTCCTCTTCGTTACACTTTAATTTACTTTGCCTTCGTCGATGTTAACTTTTAATTACTTTTTTATAAGTCATATCCGTTTGCTTTCTGTTTTTTTGAACTTCACGTTTCATTTTTAGATTACTTTTTTTAATCAAAGAAAAACAGTCAAAAATTTTGTGTTAAAAAGTTAAAAGTAGATAATTACTTCATCTGGAGTAATAATTCGAAATATAAAAAATTCCAGGTGCAAAAATGAGTCACACGGGTATTCATTAATAGTTTTGTTAAAAAAAAATTACCAAGCATGCTATGACCACGTTATAAAATTTTTATATCATTTCCAACGCTTTTTACTACCTCGTTGGTAACAGAACTCTGATATACTAGGAAGTGATACTAATTTTATGGACAGCGAGGTTTTATTTGATTCATAATGTATGTACCGAGTACTAAAAACTCAACAAAATTATGTTTTTTAATAACTTTGGTTTGATAAAAATAAATTTTAATAATCTGTAAAGACTCTGAGAGCTTTTATTTTTTACACTTGGATAATACATACAAAAGTTTTTATGTTTTGGAATATTTATTTGCTTGCTTATGATGATCGTAAAATTATTTTTTGAATTCAAAACTTTTATCATTACTTCAGAACTGGAAAAAATGAGTTTAAATTTCAAAAAAATAATTTTAATCCTTAATTTTTAAAACAAAGAATACAAATTCGTGGATTAAAGCAATAATATTATAATAATCGTTATCTTTTATGAGTAACTTTGTTGAATATAATGAGCGATAAGAAGTTAGTCGTGTTTCCAAATTACCGGCTTATAGAATAAAAATTAAGAATTACATTTTTATAAATTAATTTGGAGTATCATTACATTTATGTGGTCTTCCAGATACACGTTACTTAATTTTAATAAGTCTCTAAACAAGTTAAATCCTCAATCTGTATTAACATCCGAAATTAATTAATGCAAGTGACACTAAGTGGAAAACTATGCACACACTATTTTACGTTCTATGTAAAGAGAAAAGAGATATATTGTTTACACTATAATAAACGGTCATAATTAAACAGTACGTATTATATATTATTAATCGTTGCATCATCAAGGGGATATTTAAAAATTCTGTCATGAGGACAGAATAAAGTTCTCTTGGTGTAATTAGAGTAACTCATGATACATTCATATGAATTTAAAAAACCAAATTTTGCTTGTTAGTAGATATAGCTTGTGCTCGGATGAGAAAAAAAAATGTAATTAAAATTTTTGGCAGAGTTGTGTGTAAATAATATTATTTTTTTAGTACAAATTCCACCATGTATTAATTTATAAAATTAATTGGGATCAGAAAAAATGTTTTCCTTCAAACACTAGTCAATCTTATCAAAGATTAATGTGCAAAAAAATGTTTGAATAAGATCCATTCATTATTTTTTGAAAAATTATATCAATCGACTTAAAAAATAAGTCAAAATTTTGAAATTAAATATTTGATTTATAATATTAGAAAAAAATTAGAGAAAATAAATTTTAAATTATTTTATGACTTGAGAATTAGTGTAAATATTTTCCAATTGAAGAATTATTTTCTTCATTTAATATTTTCGATGTTAACTCAAGAAATTTCTATTTTCAACACAATTTGAGTATGAATTTTTATGAAATTCGGTAATACAAAATTTTTGACTGTAAATAAAATAATGAGGTATGAATAGCGCAAGGGAATTTAATCGAAAGCGACAAGTGATTTAGAATAATAATAGCGTACGTCATCACCAGCCGGGTGTTGAAGAATCTGGACGTTAAAAGTTAGTCAATATAAATAAAGTTAAAAGCAAGTGGTCCAGGATGGTTGAAGTGTCAGTTCGAGAATAGCGAGTAGTGTGTGTAAATTTAGGAAATCGACAAAGAGTCTCATCGAATCTTCATAGAGTAGCATAAAATCGTTTTCACTTCATTCGGTTCGTTGGTCTCAACAACTTTTCGAGACTCTCTCGACGCCAGTTTCCTTTTGCTGGTTGTCTGAAAAGTTGTGAAAATCCTTTCGGCTGAAAGAAAATGCGAGTGAGAGAGACTGAAAAGGTCTGTTGGGTATAAAAAAATGTGAGTAAAAATAAAGAAAATAAGTAAATGAAATAAAAGAGAGAGAATGGTTAAATAAAAGAGTGAAAGTAAAGAGGAAATATCAAGAGAGTTAGCGACCCGGAAAACTCGTTTTCGTGTTTGTGCGTTTTAGTGAGAAGAGTTGCACACTGGCAGTAGCGTACTGAAAAAATATAATAGAGAAAAAAGTTTAAAATAAAAGAATGAAACTAAAGAAAGTAGCCTGATGTTAATGGTTATACAGCACTTTACTTCTTTATTCTGGATATCCACAGGAGTGACCATTCTACTGTCGCTGACAGTCTTCTTGAACCTCGTTGCCGAGAGTATGCCAACGACTTCGGACGCTGTTCCGCTAATAGGTATACACCCTTTTCTCTTTTCACCCGCTCCCTGTTATCATATTATGACAACAACTAGTTGCCCGAAAGAACATAGTCTTTTTAACACACTTTTTGCTATTACTGTCAGTTCACGAGTGCTGTGTGTCTATGTATGTACGTACGAGTGCCTTTGTTAACGTTTGTATTAACGTAGACGTATCCCGAGATGAGAGTAACATCTTTACCACACTTAAGAGTCATCTCTAAGAGGACAGTCAAGTATAAACGTTTGTAGCTACTCCTTTTATCGAGCGTATCCTTATACACGGGAAAGACGAGCAAATGGGCTTCCTCATATCGAGATATCCGTCATTATAATTGTTAGTATTTATTGATACGACTATCCTTTAAAAATACTTTTATCCTTGTGAGACCAAATTTTTTTTTATATTTTATAAGCACTGTTTGATTTTTTTAAAATTAGGGTAGAAGTACCGTTTTTGGCAATCTTACCACCATTTTTGGACAGTTAACATTTGAATTAATTAAAAAAAATTATAATATTATAACCAAATTTTTGTTGAGTTTTAAAAAATTTATATTAAAATAAATTAAGTTTGTTATGGTTTATTAATATATATTCATTTCTATCGTTTAATTGAACAATAAATGGCCATAAACGGTACTTCTACCCTATTTCTTCAAGTTTAAGATTTTTATTTTGAATTAAATGCTAAAAAAATATTTTTTTTTTTTTCATATTTAATTCATTCTTAGATGAATAAAAGCTGCATTAATTTTATTATTTTTTTTCATTAATAAAAATTTTGGTTGAACAAATTTTAAAATTAAAATTATTTTTATTTAAATCTTAAAATTTTTTATTTCATATTGATAGAATGATTTCTTAGCATTTAAGAAGATTTCTTTGTATTTAAGAAATCATTTCTTAGCTTTTAAGAAATATTTCTTAAATACTAAGAAATCCTTCTATCAGTATACTGAATTAATCGGTTAAAATTTTACAGATGTATTTTCGTATCAAAAAATTAGAGACTAAAAATTTTGAAATTAAGATGAAAAAATTTTAAAGTATCCATAAAATACTTTTTGCAGCTTATTAGATAATTAAATTTGGTCCGATTTGCCATATGGATTTTTTCCGCGTTGAAAAATTCCAGGAAGCCACTTTTGTTCTTTTTTCCTCAATTCAATTAAACCCTCGAACAAAATGCTATTTTCAAAAATAGAATAAAAAATAGTTAATGTACTTTAGTAATTTATAGTGACGAGTAAGTAGATATAAATTTAAAAAAGTATCGAGTATAAACACAGTCATTAAGAAGTTAACACTTAATGCGAAAATAGCATTTTATGGGTTCGATCTATTTAATAACATTGTTTTTTATATCGTTAAAAGAGCACTCAAAAGTAGCGATAAAATCCTCATGCAAGATTAAAAAACCTTTTAATTCGAGACCTAATAGTGTCATATCATTAGCGTTAGTGATCCTGTTGTGAGCGTGGAAGAAAAGAGAGAAAGAAAAACAAAAAGAGAAAGAGAGAAGAGAGAAAATGTGTGCAATAAAAGCAAAATCTTGTCTCGTCGTATCATGGTTATGGTTAGTCTTGAGAAAGAGAGAAAAACTTTTGGTAAGAATATAAAAATAGTCATTAACATTTTTATTTTCCTCTACTTATGTTTTCCTTTTTCCACTATTTTCAATGCGAATAAAAGAGAAGTTTATATAAAAGTTAACCAACGTGTTTTGTCGTTATTTCGCACAGTGCTATGATGGGTAACGTTTAATTTAACATTAAGGAGCTTGTGGCTTTTACACAGTACACCCATTACAAGACGCAGTTAACCTGACGTTTATGATCATACCCATTGTGTATGAATTTAATCTTCTATGCGATGTTATCATACACATAATATGATTGTAAATCAACTGGAATATATTCCGTTGACAACGTAATTTACTATTTATTGAATCATCACACAATCTCCTTGATAAATTATTCAACCAAACAAAAAATCCCGAAAAAAAAGGTTGCTTTGAAAAATTTTACTATTTTTTTATTCTTCATTGAATTATCGTTGGTTTTAAAATAACATTAATCGCTTGAGCACCTTGCTTTTATTAAAAAAAAAATTTTTTTTTAAAAGTTCCCCTGTTTGTAATTTATTTTTTTTTGTTTATTTAAAATAAAAATGTGGGGAAAAATTCAACGCCCGATCGTACGACAGTAGTGAATAAAACAAAACAAACTAAAAAATAAAAAATATAAAATAAAATTTTAATAAATAAATAAAATAATTTTTTTTTTTTTATTTTTAAGCTTATAATTTTTATATGTATTTAAGTATCTTATTTTAATGCATATATTTATAGTTATAAATACATATATATCCATTATTTCTTTATAAAATGTCTTTTGCAGTCGATAGACTGTCATTTACAGGTGAGACGATATCTCTGATAATTTTGTCTCAATATCATTTTTATCGTAACTGAGCTGCAGCGCAATTCAAGATAACTGAAGCAGTACACTTTTATACTTAAGGTTATTGGCCTCGGAAAAATATTTTTTGGTTCTAAGAATATTTATAGTAAATTAAAGTATTTTTTCATTTCATAACAAATGTTAAATTGAGTAACTTATTTTAATTGTAAAAAGAAAAAATTTTTCCAAGACTTGGATCAAAAGATTAAATAGGAACACAATGTGATTTGAATTTTTATTCGATTGCGCTTCGGCTGGGTGATGATTAATAAAAAAAATAGCATGGAATGATATAAAAGACGTCGAGGTGAAGGATCTTGTTGATCGATGATAAATTAATCTGTCGAATAGCTCTTTACAGGAGGACAAACGCGCTCGATACGAATCGCGTGCACGACTAACAAACACGGTTGGAATTCAACGGGCTCTGGGGAGGAAACCGGGGGCGGGCTCGGGGTGGAAAAACGTGAGTCGAGGATAGACAAGAGTAGAAAGGAATGGGAGGAAAAAAAAGCAATAGTACGAGCTTACAGGGTGGGAAAGACACGAATGATTACTCTTAAAAAAATCTAAAAAACATAAAGAACACGGTATCTGTTGCTTATATAGCTGTAAAGTGTACAATCGCTGGAAAAAGTTTATTTTATCGATATTTAATCTCAAGTTAATCGCTTCAAGTTTCATTTTTAAAATGTTGCTGACTGATGTAATCTTGTGATAAAAAAAATATATAACATAAATAAAAAGTACATGTGCCTTGGGATCAAAAAATACATTCAATGAAAAAGATTCAAGGATTTGAGATTGATTGCATTCTCTCCAGCTCGTTTTATTATTTCTATTTTATTCTACGTTTTTTTTTTTTTGATTCTGTCAAGATCGCTGATGAAAATAAATGAGAGCGAAGGTAGACTCTCAAATCCTGGAAATTAAAAACAAATAAAATAAAGAAAAAAATTGAAAACTGGTTTTGCTCATCGACGAAAAAACTCATACCCGATTCGACGAAAATCAAAAATTATTTTTATCATTTTTTTTGATGCGCGTAAATTTTTTTTTTTGACAAAAAAAAATAGTTAAATATTTTATTTTGTTGTTTGAAAAAAAAACATTTCAATATCTCGACTTTTGACTGATGTACTAATATAACATTCAATTAAAAAATGTAGTTTTGCATGAAACGGAAAGTATGACATAAATATCTGAATCGTTTTTGCAAGTTTTGACGTAAATTAAATCGAGTTTTGCTCGTGAAAATATATGCTTTGATTAAGTTGATTTATCGATTTGGAAAAAATATAGATGAGCATTGATTCTAGGATAACTTAAGACTGTGTTTTTGCCAACTTCTTGCTGATAAATGTCTTGGGCCGACGTAACCAGTTGCTTGTAAAATAAACTTGTTTTATTTTGTCGTTGTTAAACAAATTTATTCAATGATTACTTTACATATCTTACGATTGCAAGACACTGAAAATTATTTTCTTACCGGTATTTAAAAAATAAAATCAAATATTTATTTAACTGATTGAATAATTAATGCAAGGTAAGTGATTCAAACGCTCACAGAAATTCAAAAATACACTTGAAGTTTTTGAGAAAAAAAAATAATTTTACTCAGCTTTTTATTAGCTCAAATTAACACGAGTGAAGGCGAGTTTGAACGAAAAAGTTGAGGAAATTTCGCCTGATGAGTTTTCATACTTATGAAAATAGAAAAAACAAGAGTAAGAGTATTAAACGATAATAAATAATAATAAGGATAAGCATAAGAAAAATAGGACAGGGATACGGCAACACTTGGAAGCAGTCTAGCATCAACATCAAGTCTTGTTTTAAATTCCTTCTCACGTTTCGGGCCCGGGATTACCGTTTTTCATTCCGCGCGAGTCTGCATCTCGCGGCACCAAGTTTCCTCAAACACTCTGCACGTTCTTTCCTTTCAGATAATCTAGTAGACTTTTATAGTATCGTGTAAAAAAGCCAACCAGAAATGTCTCATTGAATTACTTTTTTATTCTTTTGAGCACACTTTATTTATTTATTTCTTTCCAACAGTACTCACATTTTATTATAACTCTTACACAGAAAAAAAAGTCATCTTGACTCAAGAAAATCTTTTTCTTCAAAATTTACTTCTTGCTTCAAGTTCTTGTTTATTCTTGAACTAATAATGTCATATACTTATCCCAAGTCAAGCTTTCTCTTGGTTTGGAAAGTAGCGCCAACGTTGGCGACGTGATTTTTTGGAACTAAACCGAGATTTTTTTAATAAAAAATTAAATTTAAAAAAATAACCTTATGCATGATTTTTATTGTTTGTGTTCATTTAATTAGACATTTTTAATTAATTTTTAACTTGCTGATTTCCCATTATATTACTGATTTACAGATAAGTGTGTAGTGACGAAAATATTTGTATAATAAGTATTCGCTCGACTCATACAAAGTACACGGTAAGAAATTTGTTGCGTTAATAACTTAATAACTATAAGTGATATCGACAATCAGAAAAAAAATCCTTAAAGAGAAGGAAATTTCTGAAAAAAAGTCTCGACTCCCGGAACTCTAGCTCCATAAACAATAATTTTTATTTAATGTTGAATATGGGTTTCCGCGCGGCTGCTGTCCTACTCGGGCCTCGATACGCCCGTGTGTACATGAAGCAAGTTCAAAAACCAAGAGAATG